CCTGTAAACACAGATGTTTGTTAATGATTGTCCGAATGTGTTTCCATTCGGTGTCCATTATATAACCATGTGAGAACTCTTTGAGGCTTATATTTTGTCAGGGATACCTAAATGTTTAGTAACTTATAATAAAATAGTTAAACTGGTTTATATTCAAAAATGCCATGTGGGCAATCTTAATTTTGGAGCTTTCGTGACTGCAGGAATTATTCTTTGGTTCTTTCGGTAAAGTCACGTATAAAGAGGAAATAATTAATTAATAGCGTACACCGTTTCGATTGCAACACAAGCAATCATCATCAGGTATAAATGAAATACGCCCACATGTTGCCATGTGGGCTTATGAAACCAGTATACAAATGGGCCTGCTCTTGTGAATCATGTCATAGGGTCTTTCACACCGGCTTCACATCGGATGGTTCCATCATTCCTAGCTGGAGCAGAGCACACAGTATTAGTGTCGGTCTTACCCAGGCATCAGGAAACCCCACTGCATCTTAATCTGCTCTGCAACACCGCCTAAAGTTGTCATCGCCGTGATAAAGGCCGTGGGTTCTCAGTATATCATGTGTGTTGTGCGGATAGAAGGGGTTGTCAGTTTGACACCTAGGCTTTCGCGGCCAATGTTCATAATAAAAGTTTTTTGTGTCAGATCGCGCGAATATAAATGTGTCGTTAAACCCGCCACCACCTCACACAGCCAATAAGTGAAGTTTGTCACGTAAACAAAACAAAACCCCCCAGAAAAAACTCTTCTGGAGAATGGCCTGAGGGGGGTAGGGGGAGCGGTCTAATAGTTTAGCCAACATTATCTAGGTATTCCTTCCCCATTGGCATTGGCTTGCACCAGTGGAACATTTGCATAGGAGAAGAGACAGTTTGAGCGCGACGTTTTGCTGGTGATTACAACCAGCTTCATCAGGCGAATTGCAAAATAATCCATTTGACAAATGTGGTTGTAATCGCCGGTGAAACGTCGCGTTCAAATCGTAAATGTTGTGTTTCCTCTCCAACACACCGGTGTGCTGAAGTAATAACTAAATTCAACACACCGGTGGGCTAAAAAAGTGAACTATTTGTCTTTTGTCAACGTGATACTTTTTTTTCTGATTGGCGGTGTCGGGTGGTGGAGGGTTACGACACATTTATAAATAACGCGATCTAAACCCACAAACGTTGATTATGAATAATATTGGTCGCAAAAGCCTACGTGTTAAACTGACGTTTTGTATACTTGACAAACCTTACTAATTGGCTGTGTCAGCTGGTGGTGGGTTCACGACACATTTATATTTACGCGATCTAACCTAAAAAAAATACCCCCTTTATTATGGATATAATATTGGTCGTGAAAGAACTACGTGTTAAACGGCAGAAGAGACAGCACTGCAGCGCAGTTGTTGATGGGCAAGTGCAGGTGACGCACCCAGCAGCAATCTCACCCCCCGTAAATTCCCCACCGCCCGTGACGCGCGCGTGCGACTACACAGATCTCGCATGCCCCGACCGCCCTAACGAAAATACGTCGAAGAAAATAAAGAATAAATGAAAGTGATTCTAAATAAGGTTTTACGAAGAAAAAAAAAATCCACATCACGAGCGTGACTCTCTTGGACGGTGGCCTCCTTTTATGGTCACAGGTACTAATAAGGCTGAATAATTCAAAAACATTTGGCAAGCGTTACAGATGTGACCTCTCTTGGCTTGCAGAAGCCTTGGGAACACTGGGAGGCATGCGCCCTCCACGCGGGATGCAGATTCTACATTTGCTGTGGTTCTTTTTGCATCCCACGAACAAATTATGCCAGCTAGCAGCCCCCCCCCCATCTCCCCGCCTCTTTCCATATATATCCATATGTGTGAGATGATTGCAGATATATTTTTTAACTGTTGCTGACTTGGACAAACGCAATGCCTCCTCCAATTATATTATCTGACCGCTTTCTCCCAACTTTCGTGAGGCTCTAGACATACAGCGTTTCAAGCACATGGCTCTCGTTGGACGCTGTGCTGTCTCTTGCTGGTACAGCGACCTCGCCGCTGTAAAAGCACCTAACTAATGGCGTGTTTAGTTTACAGAGTCAGCCGTGCGATGACTTTGGTTGCCGAAACAAGACAAAATGTCCTTCCTATAGCTTGCAATGAGCTCGTACGGCCTGGAATTGCAGGCAGTGTCCTGTTACTGTAACTGAGTGTCCTTGTCCTGGCGCATGCTGTGTAGGCTTCTTTGTGTGGTCTTATTTTAAATAGCGGTGGTGCCGCCCTGTTACCGGTCTAACTGTGTGTGTGTGTGGCGGCCCATCTCCTGGGTCCTGCCTTTGTGCACGTTAACGCGGCTGTATGAATGGTTTGTTTGTTTGAATAGTTAGGTGTGTGTGATGAGTGAATGCAGTGGCAGGAAGGTCGGCAGGTAGACGGGTGTGTTGACGAGAGCAGTGCTCCTTGCGTGCTTTACGTGGCTAAATGGGTACGTGTATAAATTGGTCGATGAAAAAGCATGAGGTGTGTGAGTCGAGGTACAGTATTGGTGGCATTCACTTGTTGGTGGAGGGATATTTAAGCCTGGCGGATCGCTTCGTCTTGGCGGAGTTAGTGGAAGGAGGCATAAACAGAGCTCTGCCTTGCTTGAATATCCGTCCACGAACCTGTGTATTCATAGTGTAACAATGCATCGGTCCACGTCAATTGAAATTGATTCTTACCGTCACAATGCACGCATGCACGAATGCATTCAATCTTGCATTTAGCAATGTATTATTTTCGATTGTTATACGTTCTATGCAACTAGCTTTTTTTCCCGTCCAAGGATAGGTGTATATTGCAGTAAATCTGAAACATTCAAAAGAAAAATTGTTCAGCTCATGATTATTAATGAGGGGGGGGGGTTGCCCCATGTGGAGTGACGTCACCCACTAATGGTTATTGGGGAGGGGTGCGGCATGTGGAGTGACGTCACCCGCTAATGGTTATTGGGGAGGGGTGCGGCATGTGGAGTGCGCGACCTTCTTGTGCGTTACTGTAAATTTCCATGCGGGCATGAATATTAATGAAGGGGGGGGGGGCTCTTTTGCAGTGACGTCACGCACGGATGTAGCACTGTGCTGCGTAGATTTATTTTTTACCGTAACTTTCTGTAAAGAAACGTCATATTAGAAGCGGCTTTGCGTAATAAATTATTTAATTCAGCTCGACCTTCCTCTGCGTTCGTGTAAAAATTCACCCACTCATGACTAATTAATTAGGGGGGTGGGCCTCATGTGCAGTGACGTCACGCAGGGGGTGGGCCTCATGTGGAGTGACGTCACGTGCGGGACGGACAGACATTTGTGGGTGATTGTAGTCGGTAATTAATGTGGACCCTACAGCCACTAGAGGCGCTGCAGTGCACAACAATTCCATGCGCTGCTTTCAGCTCGCAGTGCATTAAGCATAGCTGTTGATGATAATGATGATGAATGGAGGTGATCACTGGACAGACGATACAGAACAGACGAGCATCAGGTATTCCTGGCAAAATATAAGCCTCAAAGATTCTCACGTGGTTACATAATGGACACCGAATGGAAACACACCCGGACAATCATTAGCTCACATATGTGTTCACAAGCCAGTCGATTCAAAGCACGATGCAAAATGTACCCACATGGGCCGCAAACAGTTATACCTTTCTGACCAAAGCGGTTTTAATTGACACATTGGGTGGGGAAACTTCATCTGCCAAGGCCTTCATCAGCCCACCAGTGGCACCGGCAATTCCTTAGTTGAGTGGCGTTAATAATGGACAAAACATTAATTGATTCTCCAATTGAATCCTGACCCCCCAATCGTGGAAGGTGGAGTGGTGAATTGGTACAAAACCAAAGTGATTTTCCGCCTACGTTGAGGTGGTGTTCATCTCCTGTTTACAGCCCTGAGCCAGTGGCGGATATTCGACGTTCCTCTGGTGGGGGCAAGTGTATCAATCGGGCAGCCACTTGACTTGCTCACAGAGTTATTGGTCTTCTTCTTGGTTCTTTCGGTAAAGTCACGTAGAAGGGAAGTAATAAAATAATAAAAACAAAACATAAACCAATAATTCTCACGATGTTTCGGCTACAACGCAAGCAGCCGTCCTCAGGTGAAGAACAGGTCTGTCGGGAAGACAACATTCAGACGCTGTCTCCCCGACAGACCTGTTCTTCACCTGAGGACGGCTGCTTGCGTTGTGGCCGAAACGTGAGAATTATTTTATTATGTTTTATTTTTATTATTTTATTATTTCCCTTCTATGTGACTTTACCGAAAGAACCAAGAAGATGAATCCCTGCAGTCACGAAAGCTTTAAATCGAAAAATAGAGTTATTGGTACTTATTGGAATTCGTAGAATTGTTCCAGCCCAAGTGCAAAGAACCACAGATAAGCAGGCAGCAGCCACGCGGTGAACCGACACGAACAATTTGTAAAGCTCTGCAGTCCTCTATATATTACCATGGCCATTCTAATGAGTGTTTACATGCGGGAGGAAACCGGACCACCCAGAGAAAACTCACACGTGCGAGGGGGCAATCCTCTATCCCATACAGATAGATTAGATAAAGCCCACGTTTTCTTTGTACCGTATTCTCCTGGCAAGCCAGGGTATGGCACCCGAATGCTAACAGGAAGGGAGTTTTACAACATTTGTGTGCTCCACTAATGCTCGCTGCCTCCGCAATGCTGGCTCGATCACAGGCCACGTGCATAGCCACCACCGCCCGGCACGCACAGTGTACGCTTGTTAGCCAACTAGACAATGCCTTCATAATCGAGGTTTTTGGGTTAGATCGCGTAAATATATGAATGTCGTTAAACCCGCCACCACTCGACACAGCCAACTAGTAAGGGTTGTCACGTAAACAGAACGTGGTCAATTCGTCACTAGTACAGCGCACCCGGTGTGTTGGAGAGCCAAGCCACAACATGTACAAACTGAGTACGTTAGCCAACTAAACGATGCCTGTGTGCGCGCATGCGCGTGCAGGGATGAAGACTTTCCTCATCTCTGGCTACCGGGATGAGGACGCGCGTCCCAGCTGGCGCGAGGGCTCCCAGCCGGTGCTGTCCTCCAGCCAGGGCTGTCTGCTCTACCCGTGGAGCCCACCCTGGGGAGACGAGCCGCTTGCCCTGCATGCACACCAGGTGATGACGGCACGCACGTGTGTGTGTGTGTGTCAGGGTATGGTGAGTGGTAGTGTAGCGGTTAGTACGCTGTGCTTCGAACCTGGCGACCCGAGTTTGATTCCTGCTCACGGCTAACACCAGTAACAATTATCTGAACCGGTCCTGGGCCTGAAATGAGCACCTGGTGTGGTTTTGTAAACGTCACCACTAGGGAGACAAAGGCGGTCGGGCGTGGTCTTGGCCACTCACCCCCTCGTGTGCCGTGCCGGCCTTCGGAGGTGCTTGCTAACAGCACCTGCCCAATATTCTGTTAAGGCTATACGGGGGATCTTTGTCTTTGGTGAGTGGTAGCGTGCTGTACTACTAATCCGGCGACCTGGGTTCAATTCCCACTCACGGCCACTACCAGTGACCATTATCTGAACTGATCCTGGGCCTCCCCTAGGTCAACTCCGCCTCAAATGAGTAGCTGGTGCGGTGTGTAGACATTGCCGCTCGGGAGACAAAGACGGCCGGGCGTGGTGCTGGCCACCCACCCCTTCCTGTGACGTTCTGACCTTCAGAGGTGCTTCTCGCTAACAGCACTTGCTCCAACAGTTTGTTATGGCTACACGGGGATCTTTGTCTTTGTGTTTGCAAGAGTACACTGCGCCCCAGTGGGGTGAGATGTTATCTGCCTCGCCTGGTATGCAGGAGGTCGTGGGTTCGATTTCGACCCTGACGCCTGAGCTATCATTTGTGGCCAGGTCGCCTCTGAAAAAGAGCTGTATAGCTCAGTGGGCCTTACCTGGTCAAATAAAAATAGTTTAGCTTGAAGTTTACTTCACACTACAAAAACACACGGATACCCTTTAGAGATAAAATATCAAAGATCCCCCATAGAGCCTTTCACAAACTGTTGGAACAAGTGCTGTGAGCGAATACCTATTGATGCCGGTTACTGTAGACGAGAGGGTGGGTGGCCAGCACCATGCCTGGCCGCCTTTGTCTCCTCAGGACTGATGTTTGCAGAATGCACCAGATACTTATTTAAGACTGAGTCAAATAATCGCTCCTGGTTTTTGTCACGAGCGGGATTTGAACTTGGGGTCGCTGGGTTCGTAGTGCAAATGCGCAAACCGCTGCGTCACTGCTCCTTACAAAAACACGGATACCATAAAGACACACAAACATGCACCGCACATCGCACGTGATGATGGCACGATTAGACTTGTACCACACACGCTATACATATACACAACAGCCGCAATTTGCCACCGAGTGGCGGTGACATCACCACGGCACCTGTGCCAGGCTAGGTGCACTACACACAGATACCATGCACACATACACACCAAGTAACAACGGCACGCAGGTAGCATTGCGCGCAGCGTACGGCACGCACAAATACACACCGCAATCGCGCAGCACGCATACCACACGGCACGTTCACACCAAATGCACGCCACACTCAAACCACACACATGGACACGGAAACGCAGCACACATAATACCCACACCAGGTCACTCTTGAGTGCGCCCGATCTCGGCAGATTTGGGAAGCTAGGCAGGTTTGAGCCTCGCTTAGGAAGGCCACGTGGCAATAGCAGGTGTTGTAGACTTGGGTTGAAAGGTGGCCGGAGCATCACAGTACAATGGATTATTTCGTCCATCCATATATTCAGAGATGTGGATGTTAACCCGCTCGTATGCGCGAGTTTTCTCCCAGGTATTATGGATTCCTCCCACATGAAGCCTAAACACTCTTTAGTGGAATTGACAAAAACATCCCCATGCAGGGTCCTACTGAAATTGAGTCTTGAGACTTTTGGTGAGCTCTTACTGGATAAATACCATTATTATAAAAAATATTGCAACCAAAAATACAATAACGTTTTGTAGAAACATACTCCAGGTTCCGTGAATGAAGCTGAATGAGAAATAAAGACTTAATAATCACAGGCTTCATGTATTCCATGACAACACTGTAGTAATGCCACTGGAATGACATAATGTATTGTAGCCAAAACACGGCGATGTTTAGTTAGTTTATTAGCAAATGCCATCCACGTGACACAAGGTGAACACCCAAAGCAGATAAATATTAAACCAGTGATGTCATGAGAGTCTTGTAATGGCTGACCTGACTGATTTTTTAAGTCGTTTTTCATTAAACCGTGAACTGTGATCTCAGGTTCCACTGTACAAGACAGCCAAGGCACGTACATAATTAGAGCAATTACATTTTTTGGGTTTCACGTTGAAGAAATCAAACAGCGGCCCTGTTCACAGTATCAAATAATTGGCAAATGAGATAAATACACGTGCGCATGATTGTGAGATTAAAAGTTACAATCCTGGCCGGATCAACTTAGCCTGTCATCCCTTTGGTAGAATATGAACACTACTTGACGGAGAGCCAATGAAAGACTGGTCACTGTCACAGAGGTCCCAACCAGGTACCCAATACCCGTACCCTACCCGATACCCGGCTACCCGTACCCGGCCGGGTATGGGTACGGGTACCCGTTTGCGACTGGTGCGGCCGGGTACGGGTACGGGTAGGCCGTGAGTCACTGGTGAGTAACTGTTTGTCACTCATTTCCCAACGTCTTGTCTCTTCTGACAATTCAAGTTCCTAGAATCAACCCACCCGCGCCTGCAACATGGCTTCATCCCAGAGGTCGCAATCAGGTACCCCATACCTGTACCCTACCCGTACCCGGCCGGGTACGGGTAGGGTACGGGTACGGGTACCCGTTTGCGACCCTGGTGCGGCCGGGTACGGGTAAGGAATCAAAACCCGTTTGCGACCTCTGCACTGTCATAAGAATGGAGAGTTTCCACCACCTTTTAATGTTTAACAATACGCATTTTTTAAGAAGCCCGGGTGTCGTCCGTTCTCCCTCTAGGGCGGCTCCCTGCCCTCAAGCCACCTCCTGGAAGACGGCCAGACTCTGGCGGCCGGGGCCCCCGCGGGCCCCACAATACCAGCAGCGGCCACCGGAGCCGACCAGGACCCCCAGACCGAGGCAGCGCCAGCCACGCGACCCCCCCGGCCGCACTCGGACGGCGCAAACGCACACGGCAGCAAGGCGAGTGCTGACCCCTCCCCCCCTCTCCCCAGCTGACAGCTGAGTGCACATTGGTAGGTTAACTTAGAGCAATATTAACGCGCAGTAGGCTTTCACGACCAATACTTTCCAAAATGGTGGTTTTTTTGGGGTTAGAGTGCGTAATTATTAATGTGTCGTTAAACCCGCCACCACCCGACACAGCCAATTAGTAAGGTTTGTCACGTGAACAGAACGTGGCAATTCGTTACTGGTTGAGCACGCCAATGTGTTGGAGAATAAAACCACAACATTTAGAATTTAAGTGACGTTTTGCCAATAATTGCAACGAGCATCATCAGAGCAGAGGTGAGGGAGAAACCACGGCTCCTTGGGCTGGACACGGCCCGTGACTTCATTTCATGCGGCCCATGGCCACAAACGCGTTCGGCCACTTTGAAACGGACCGCAAACGTCACCGCAACCTTTGTGGCAGCGCTATTTGACATCACTTATTGGATACTAGAGGGGATATATTTTTGACCTGGAAACGCTGCGTTTCGAATTTTAATCCACTGAGCTCACTTCAGGTACTGTACTTAAATTTCTCCACACACGCCACACATTGGCCAATCATCCCAGTGGTAAAAAAAAAAGTCGTGTCGAAACTCTTAGGAACGTGGTTTGATCTCTAAATTGCGATAGAGGGATTCCAACTTGTGGCGCAATGCCATGTGCTTCCCAACCACTTTTCTCATTCCCATGTTTCTATCAATTAAAGCAGTCTATCTCCCTATGCTAGAGGATAGCCTCGGGAAATTGAAGATGACGACTTTTGAGTTCCTTATAATTGCCTATCTTCCACACCAAGCGCACGACAATTTCACAAGTACTCTGCTATAGAAGCATTCACCAGATGGTAATTATAAGTGAAAATGTTGAACTCCTCAGAGCTGGAAATATGCCAAATTAAGCGAAAGCTGCATTTAACATTACGGGTTTTTGTATGATAACATTGGTGACCGCACTGGGACCTTCACCTTGCAAACCTGAGATCCTTGTTTAATCGCGGGTGGCTTACCGGATCAGCATTTCAGTCGTGCCCGGCTCCGTTCTCTGACCCGGCATTATCCTCTTGAGAGCCACCTGGCTACCTCGGCCACCTCTGATTTGATGCTGTCATGTCGACAGGCGCCGTGTACGCCCAGTGTCTTTTCAAGCAGCAGCGGTGACGGCGGCGGCGGTGGAGGTGGCGGCGGGGGCGGCTGTGGTGGTGGTGCTGCGAGCAAGGAGAAAGCGGTGGAGGGGCACAATGGGTGCCAGGACTCCGCGGCCAGCAAGGACCGAGCACTGGTCCCTGAGGTAGCCCCACATCATTTCCTTGTCTCTCTCGTGACAAATGAAGTGCCCGGCACATATGCCTAACGAACGTTTTGGTCTAAATTCCCTCCGTCTTTAATGTGCACATGCACATCCTTTTTGTCCGTGCACTGCTGGACGAGGGCCTTGCCACGCAATGTGAATCCCGGGGGTTATCTGACCGTACTTCACCATGCTGGGCAGTGCAGGTCGGTGGAAGTGGCGGAAACAGTCGTGGGGAGTATAAAGGTAGATTTAAAATAATTTTTTTAGAGCAGATTTTTGTGTTTAGTTTGTTGTCCTTCCCCCCCGACACCTGCGATTACATACGTTAGAGTATCATAATGGATTTTGCTGCACTGCGCTGCACTGCCCGCTATCTATTTCTGCAAGCTCTCTTCTGACAACTTGTTCGTGCATTGTGGTCACTCGTCCAAACACGATCCCAACTCAATCCCTCAATCTTGCTTGGCTTCCGAGATATGCCGAGAATCTGGGAGCATTCCTGGCGTTTTGGTCAGACGCTGATTTTGCATGTCTAATTTTTCAAAGTTAAATAAAGCATTGGCACATCTGAATGTCATTTTAACATTCCAGTCAACAAAGATTTTGATGGGTGATGATGAATTATCATGGATGAAGATTATGGTTGATGAGTGATGGATGAATTGATGATGTCTACACTATCATGTCCCATATACTATATACACTGTTATGCACACATATATACAGTATATCCAATTTTCGACATACATTGTTCATGAGTTTAGAAAAAAAAACAAAGGTAATGTTTGAGGCAGTCGCACTTCAAGCAACCTTATAAGAAGGTCCATTAGCTGAAGCATATTCAAACATTTTAAATGGGCAATGTGCAGCGGATGACATTTCCACCACTTTGTGCTGCATTCACATTCATGCGTTGAGATTATTTAGATTATTTTAGTGCTATAAATGTCCAAATTATGGGCTACTTTGTTGAGCTATCATTTGTGGACCGGTTGCTTCTTAAAAATAAGTTATTTCTTTATTTGTTTGGGTGATTTGTTTACCTTTCTTGTACTTTGTGTTTTTCTTTTGTTTGTTGTTGTTGTAATGTTGTTACCCGGCCCTACTGGACATCTGTGAAAACGAGCATTATAGCCCATCGGATTCCTCCAGTATAATTAAATATTCTGATCCTGATTTAATTATCAGCATATTCAATAGCATTCAATTTGGTGTCGTCTTTCCTGCACTTCCCATTGCTGTCTGTTCGTTCTTACATATTTGTATTTTCCCCCCCTTTGCTTCTCGTTAAACCGCTGTGCTTGCTGTTTGTGGCTCCGCAACTTTTCGATTTAAAGCTTTCGTGACTGCAGGGATTCATCTTCTTGGTTATTTCGGTAAAGTCACGTAGAAGTGAGGACGGCTGCTTGCGTTGTGGCCGAAACGTCGTGAGAATTATTTTGTTATGTTTTATTTTTAATAATTTATTATTTCCCTTCTACGTGACTTTACCAAAAGAACCCAGAAGATGCTCCGCAACTTCTTCCCCTGCGCACTTCTGCTTCGCTCCAATGGTCTTCGTATATTCCTGGGTCATTCCCCTTGGAATTGGCCATCTTACACTGTCCCTCTTGCATTCCATGTCTCCCGGTCTCGCCTCCACTCCCTCACCGGCCTGCGTCTGCCTTATTTGGGCCCCGATTCCTTTTAAGGTCACCGATTATCGTGAAAGCTAATGGGACCATGCGGAGCGCATCTAGCATCAAGAAACACCACTGCACTTGTGGCTCAGAGTGAAGGTGCTGCTGCTGTCACTCTGTACAAATGCAGTATCTCACTGCCCCGTGTTTAAATAAAGAAGCAACCTAAAACAAACAGGTATTACAAACCTGTCAACCCATACGATTTACCCTTATTTTTGTACAGAGAAATTGAGTTTTCAGGTCCATACGGCATACAGCCATTTTAATACGGGCAAAAAAACTGTCTACTTGTTCGTGTTTCTCCCTTGTGATGGGGCTTTGTAGGAGGAACGTTGAAATTTATAAGAGCACGGATTGATTAATTAGGTCTGAATTGGTCTATAATAAGGTAGGCACTGATCAGGGGTTGCCAGGTGTGGAATTATCTTGCCGTAAAAACATGGACTCCCGGGCTCATTGCCTGATGGAGCTCACAGCAAAACGTCATCGAATATTGATGTTAAATTCAGTCAGGAAAAATCTGAAGCCACAGGTTAGGTGATTTATTGATCAGAATTTGATCAGTACATTTGGCCTCGTATCTGGAAACGTGAATATCTTTTCAGGTGGTTAGAGAGTTAATGGCAAGAATGTTGGTATAAAATTACCACCACGTGGCCCAACCCAAAAACATTTATGGATCAGATCTCATCTTGCAGATCTGTATCCAGCAGGGTTGCTGCGATAGCATTTTATTAAATAAGATATCAAATGTCATAATATAACGATCATTGTGATATCTGTTCCCTCGAACTTAAACATTTTATTTCTCATTATCATCGTCCTGTTTTTGTGTCTTGATGTACAATATTCTGTCTAGTCTCTAACTAAATACATTCATGCAAATGATAATTTAGTTTGTACAGGACATATGTATTTGTCTGAATATACATGTACAGCCCCCTTTTTGTCACTCCACTGCTAGATCAGGACCTCCCGATGCTGTGCAAGGTCATGGCTGTTATTTGACAGTACTTTCACCACGCTTTCCATCGCGGCTTGGTAAATTCGGAGAGATTTTATGTGGGAGCATAGAACTGCAGTACAACAAAGGAATCTGCCCTACTCTGAACTTCTTTCGCACCGTACGTAGCCAATCGTGTTACATAGGCCCACGTAGGCCCGCAGTTCCCTGACTACCTGTGTTGTGCAGGGTGGATGCCTGTTAAAGCCCTCATCCAGGCTTGACGTTGCATTGCTGGCAAGATATTTGACGACCGGGTGCATTCTGGGTGATTTGGTCATGCACGCCACGGTGGCGGGATGTTATCTCCCTTGCCTCGTACACAGGGGAGGGCCTTGGGTTCGATCCCGACCTTGATTCCTCCATATTTGGAGTTTGTTTGCATGTTCTCCCAGTGGTTGTGTGGATTTTTCTCCGGGTCCTTTGGGTTTTCTCTCCACATTTAGCGTCTACGTGCATTTGGAGTATTTGCCTGCCGCTCTCAATGTCTACTTGACGATCCACTTCGGTGAGCTATCATTTGTGGCTAGGTCTATTCTGAAAATGAGCTATAGAGCTCAGTGCACCTTACCTGTTAAAATTTAAAATAAAAATTATACTTTTTGGTTTATATACCTGCCTGCAGACATGCTCAAAATTGCCCTAAGACTGAGGACAGAACATCTGGCTTATATTCTCAGTTCTCATCGCGTAAGAGAACTGCAAACGAATCACCAAATCGCTCGTGTGGGCACCAAATCGCTCGTGTGCGCACCACAACGGACCAAGATTGTGGTGACCATATCTTGTCTGGATCACCATTGCACACTGCAACACACACACAGTGTTCCAAGCGCGCCATCTACTGGGCAACGAATGTATAGTTGTACAAATGCTGTGGCATCCTCACAGGTAACTGCTGAGGGTACTTGTCCTGTACAAGAAACAGGCCCCTTTATCAATTCACGAGTGGATTAGGGCCTCCCCGCGTTGTGTGGATCGTGGCAGTTACTTTACCTTACGTCACCACGCTGGTCAGTACAGATTGGTGAAGGCAGGGAATGTGGATGCATAGAATTATGGTAGAGCATTAAAATCTGCTGAACTGCCCACCACGTAGCCCACAACCCTATTACAACCTGTTAGTGCATGGTGGCGACCCTTCAAAGCACCCACCAGGTTTACTACCTGCTTAGCTTCAGAATTCTGCGTGAATTTGGTCATAGGCGGTTCGGGAACATGAGGAAGCTGATCCTTTGTCAGTGCCATCAAGACATCGAGCCAGAACTGCTGTGGTCTCTGGGTTGAAACACCGGCTCTGGCACAAAATTAAGTGTGGCTGTGACGAAAATCACGCATTTTTTAAATCCTTTATATTAAGTTCGCTTGCTTGCTTAGGACCGTGCAAATCTTTCGGTCGTTTTTTAACCCACTTCCCGTGATCCAATCGAGCTGACATTTTGCACGCAGACTCGTTGTGCATGACAATGAATTTTCGTGAATTTTTTTTTCCAAAATTTGACACTGTTTAGGGAATTTTTAAAATTATTTATTTACCAATTGGTTAATGCTGGCACACAGTCATCTGACCCATAGGTGGCAGCCATCTCAAGCCAGAGGACGAGATGACTCTAGCTGCCCCGATGCCACGCATATAAAGGATTTATAGTGAAAAACTTTGTTTTTACGGGTTATACTTGTTTTACTTGTCATAAACCCAATGCTGGGTGAAAGAAGGCCTCCCTACGCTCATACCACCTCCCACCATTGCGCGATGCCACAATCTATCTCACTGCTGCACACGACCTGATATTATTGCTCACTGTCCGCTCTCTTGACTGCCGTTCCATCGTTTGTCTCGCTCGTCAGCCATCCTCCCTTCCTGCGATGCGTCACCCGAACTCCGGTCATCCGCGCAGCGGCTTTTGGTTGGCCAGTGAACAAAGACGGTCGCTTGCATCGCACACTTTGGGATGCGCTTCTGCTGTCGTCTAGAACGCTTTTCCTTCTGATATTAGGAAGTCTGACCAGCTAGTTGTGCCTCAGGCTTGTTCCATCTGGCCTGGCCCTCTAGCTGCTACCATTGGCGCACACCAGGCTCAACATCCCTAGTGAGTCGGTACAGTCAGCAGCTGCCAACGCCTAACCCCGGGCGGCGGTTAACTAACCCGGCAAACTCAGCTTGTCTGAGCCTGGGCATGTAGAACCCCTGATGGAGGAAATTCCACCAAAACGGGTCTTTGGACCTTCCACTGCAACCAGGACCATCTCCAGTCGTCTTGACTACGTCTTGCCACTGGGTACAGATGGGGCTGGTCGAGAGAGTGAGGTTGAAGCTGCGCAAATCACCCTCACTTAAATCCAAGTTCTCTGCGCAAGTCATGGCACTTTTACCATCGTCATTAAAAAAAAAAGGAAGCCACTGGAGCTGTGCATTTTAAAATATAGATTAAAAACGAATTTCTTTAAAATTGCTTCTTGTGTTTAGTTTTTTTGTCTTTCCCACGCACCACCGATTAGCATGGTTGGCTATGTATGGTGCGAAAGAAGTTGAAAATACGTACATACAGACATACAAGTCCACTTCCTCTTGTGTTTCACAAATGCGATGCCCCTGATTTGTTTTTCCTATTTGGTCTATGTTCAAATTTCCAGGTTTGTTTTGTTTAGCCAGGAAAGAACTGAAGGGACTAGGAGAGTATCATTTGCAAGATTGACCGGAGTCCTCCAAAATGATAAAAGCAAAACAAACGAAATGAAGTACATTTCCGAGTCAAATATAAATCAGAGGGGGGAAAACAACCTATCAAATATTACTTAGAGCAAAAACAACCATAATTAATTTAACCAGCACTCAAACATAAATTAATATTAACATCAATTTACTTTTGCAAATGTTGGCATGGACAAGTGGCTTTTGAAAACCATTAATAATTAAAGTGTGTTTTCTTTTAAGCCTGTGTAATTTATTGATTTTAAACTAAAATACACAAATATTATATTTAATTGGATAACTAAAAAGTACACTATTTACACGTCGCATCACACACAGCATTTCATAACACACGTGACGAGCATTTATGGCATTGCGAACCTGTGCTGCGCTCTGGACCACACAGTGTTAAATTTCTATCGGTTGTGTTCTTTCCTGAGGCTGCCATTCCGTCACTTGTTTTGTCAACAGTCGTCACCCATTCAACAGTGCAAGTGGCCCTTGTTAACATCGGTCCACAAGGCCCATAGATTGGTTGTCCTGTGGCGAAACTGACCTCGGTCGCAACGGAAAATAATACGTGCTGTAGATCCATGGCACGCCGTGCCTTACCGCGCTGCACTGTGTGCCACACAGCCGCCCTGCAAGGGTCCGCCCAAGGTTCACAACGGGCTGCTGGCCGTCAAGGAAGAGGGAAAACTGGCAAACAGCCGCACGTCGCTTGTCGAGACACTGCAGGAGCGCATGTGCAAGGAGCGCGCGCCCCTGCTGCCCATCAACATGCGCTACAAGCACCTGCTGAGGCAGAGCGACATTCACTTCGTGGAGGTCATCAAGAGCGATCGGTATGACACGCACAACCACTGCCAACAACAGTGGCTTCCACCACCACGGCTCGATCACCCGCCATGGCTGTCTCGATCACCGCCACCATCACCACCGCCAATACCACTATCACTATCACTGCCACTACCACTATCTTTATCACCACCGCCACTACCACTATCTCTATCACCGCCACTACCACTATCTCTTTCACTGCCACAGCTCTCTCTATCATCGCCACCATCAACTATCACCGCCACTATCAACTATCACCGCCATCTATACCACCACTGTTGTTATCGCCACCTCAACCATTATCTTCACCATCACCACTATTTTCCACATGAGATTAGTCTCTTGCCTGCCTGGCTAGGCTTATGGTTATTTCTTACAATAGTTATTGACTTTAGCCACTGCAGTCTCCTGGCGACATTGCTAACAATCCATAAATGTTTATATTACAATGGCCGAAGAATTTGGTCTCATGAGTATTCACGTCACCGGCCCTGATGGAGTGAGCACACCTTGCTAATCACTGGGAACGATACATTCACGTGTTGATCACGCTCGATAGACCAGCCCAGGCTCTCACCCCCAACTAATCAATCAATAGCTTACTTCAGCAGCACTTTTATGCCGATGGCACACCTGGAATAAAACTGGTGAGAAAATCGATGAGAATATAAAAAAGTAATCGAGCGATATAGTAAGCCACAAATTCTGCCGATGAATGGAGCCTCTGTAACAATCATAACCTCAACTTAAAACACGCGTGAGCAGTCACTTCCCGTCGTCTATATATTAAGGTGTTATCGGCCAATTAATTAGTGTTCACGCATGGGAGGAAACCGGAGCACCCGAAGAAAAGCTATCCGTGCGAGGGAGAACCACTGTTCCACACAGAGCCAGGATATGGCACCTGCTCAATGCCCATGGGAAAGGAGTTTGGCAACGTCGTTTGTGCGATCCGCCAATTCTCGCCTCCACGGCGCTCGATTACAGAGCGTGCGCCACCAAAGTTCAAAGTTCATTTATTAGGTATAGCCCTGTGAGCCATTCGGCTCCTGAATCGGGTGCAACGGCAACAAACAAAAAACAAAAACATGAACAAGAAAACATCTTAAAGTGACTATGTGCAAACAGAAAATCCAAGAAAAGACAGCAAAATATTGCAGAAAAATCACTACACCAACACTGTGCAAATATCCCAGTGGGATGCAAGTCAAACAACAACCACAAGACAACTTAGATTAAGGTAGGGTAGGGTGGATTAAGGACAGTGTGTGCTCGACACAGAACCCATTTACAGTTACACCTCAACCGTTGCTAAACAAAAACCCCACACTGAAATTCGGAGAGCTTGTATCTGGGAGCATAGAACTATAGTAAATCGTCGATCGTTCTCTGACCATTTCACGCAGATTTCGGAAGCCGAACAAGGTGTGAACCTGGTTAGTGCTTGGAAGAGTGGCCAGCCACCACGTACAAACAAGTTTTCATTGGGCTGTGGGGCTCTGTCGTAGGCAGTTCAGCAAAATTCACTGCCCTACATCCCAAATGCTGGAAAAATTTCCTGAAAATTACATAATTGGCATGAGACATAGCAACGGTAACCGCTTACGCGAAAAACATTGCAGGAGTGTACCTGCAAAAGAGTGAGACTCGGTGAGACTTTCCTGAGTAAACGGAGAAATAGGAAAAAATTGGCGAGAATGTTGAAGAGCTCCTTGGTGAATATAGTAAACTTCTTGAAGCGAAATTGTTTGGGCAGAGTCGAGATGAGAATGTCCACTTGAACATTAATCAGATTTTTCCATTCCAGTTGCTACCGTAAAAAATATATGCCGTTAATGACCCTGTGAAAGAATTCACAAAGTAGACAAATGTGTGCCGATATCACCGCTGAAATCCAAAAGTTGAACAATCGGCCATCGATAAGCAAATTTTTTTTTTTAATCACTCCTTGCTTGAACAACAGTAATAATAATACTCACATCTGCACTACACAATAAGAATGATTATGAAAGGCCAGTCCTGGTTACATAAAGAACGTCGATTGACTGCTTGGACAAGCCTGATCTTGAAACAGCCACCGAAAGAAACCCGTGTGTGTGTGTGTGCGTGCGCGTTCGTCTGTATCCACCCGCTATGCAGACTTATGGAGGACTACTTCTTTAAGCCACCCATCAACAAGCTGAGCTTGCAGTTCCTGGACAAGAACCTGGAGAAGGCGTACCGGGCCAGCTACCAGGAGGAGGTGAGAACAACGGGCATTATTCTTTGGTTCTTTCGGTAAAGTCACGTATAAAGATAAAATAATAAATTAAATTAAATACTAGCATACGACGTTTCGATTGCAACACAAGCAATCATCATCAGGTATAAATTAAATAGAAACACAAATCTAGTATGATAAATTTAGCATTCTCAGGAAGAACGTAATCAATCAGATAGGGTGTTGACTGTTATGTTATCCGACTCTCTGTTGTATAACATTACATTTCTAAATATACTAGAGTTGTGTTTCTATTTAATTTATACCTGATGATGATTGCTTGTGTTGCAATCGAAACGTCGTATGCTAGTATTTAATTTAATTTATTATTTTATCTTTATACGTGACTTTACCGAAAGAACCAAAGAATAATTCCTGCAGTCACGAAAGCTCCAAATTAAGTAACAACGAGCATATTCACCTCTGTAGCGAGGTGTTTACTCCCTCGCCCGGTAGGTGGGAGGGCATGGGTTCGATCCCGACCCTGACACCTGTATATTTGGAGTTTGCATGTTCTCCCCCGTGGATTTATCTCCCGGTCCTCCAGTTTTTCCCTCCACATTTAGAATCGACGTGCGTTTAGAGTATTTTGCCGCTATGAATGCCCACACGATGAGCTACTTCGTTGAGCTATCATTTGTGGCCAAGTCGCTTCTCAAAAAGAGCTGTGTAACTCAGTGGACCTTACTTGGTAAAATAAAAAACAGTTTTCCGTTAGTATTCAGATCCAGGATATGTTTGAAGGAGGGAAAATGCACTTGCGAACCAGCTGTGTAGTGTCGGAGAGCTTTCACGTCACAGCGGGAGTGAAGCAAGGTTCTGCCCTGAGCCCCCATCCTTTTCATCCTGGTGCTGGACGCACCTACGAGAGATAGCACAATGCAGACGACATTGTGCTATGCGGTGAAAGCAGAGGGGTAGTGGAGGATGATTTGAAGATCTGGGTGCAAAAGATTGAAGAGAATGGGTAAGAGGATCAGTCGGACAAAGACTCGGTATATGGTGGCAAATTTCAGTGGAAATAATTCAGAAGGAGGACTGCAAATTGGAAGTGACCAGTTAATGAAGACGAACAAGTTGTAGCACCTGGATGCAACGATGTGTGGTGATGGATGAGAACAAGAACAAGGGATGGATGGCTGAAATGGCGAAAGATGACTGGTGTAGTATGCGATAAGAGGGGGTCCCAGTTTGGTTGAAGGGAAGAGTGTGAAGTGTATAGTAGTGTATAGTGTAGTGTATAGTACAAGACAGTGTGAGGCCGGTGCTGTTGTATGGGGCCGAGTGCCGGGGCACAAGAAAGAGGGAGGACCAAGCTCTTGCTGTCACAGAGATGAGGATGTTGCGGTGGATGTTTGGGGTTTAACAAGGAAGGACAGGGTGACAAATTAAGAAGCGAGAGGAAGACACAATGTGGTAGACATCACAGAGAAGTTGAGAGAGAAAAGACATTTGTGGTTCGGTCATGTGGAGAGACAACAGGAAAATGATGTGGGTCAGAAGGTGGCGAGTGATGCAAGTGGAAGGAAAGAGATGAAGAGGAAGGCAGAAGAAGAGGTGGGGCGACGTGGTGCGGACATGGTGGCCTGAGGAGCGGAAAGAGAGCTGACGCAGGACAGGGCAGTGTGGAGAAGGTTGGCAAGGACAGGGGACCCCACATGAGTGGGACAAACGCGTGGAACAAGAAGAAGAGTATTCAGACAGCGAGCACCTGCAGTTTCTTGCTCGCGTCCCTGCTGGCAGAAGGGCCTCCCGCTTCGAGAAAGCTCTATAAAGAGCCCCCTCTCTAGTGGGTGTTTTGGCCTACTCTTCCACACTGGCCACACATCTTGGAAGAGGTGCACATACCCACGCTTTAGGCCACCCGCACGTGACCTGCCGATGGACTTATCTGTGGTGAACCCAATTTGACTCGTGGGTGGACAGAGGTGGGAGGGATCAAAGAAAACTTGCCCATTGTTTCAACTGTAGCGCCGGGAGGTTGAACTGACGACCTCTGGATTGCGAGTCCAGTACGCTGACCGTTACACCGTGGCGGCATCCCAAGTCTATAATAAAACAAATTGCAGCCCTCTGTCAATCCACGATGAGGGGCCCTCCCTCACCATGTCTATCATGGGGGTTGTACGACCACACTTGATCACACTGGTCAGTGTCATTGATCACAGCTCAATGTGGATTGGTGCAGAGGAGTGCAGAACCAGCCGGGACGCAACTCGCCGCTGATGTTAGCCGCGGCTGGGATCATAGCGCATTGCTAAACACCACCGCCACTGTTCCATCCCATCTGAGGTCTACGCGGCCTTGAATTATTATCTGGTGCGGCGTATAAATATCTGCACCAAATAGGTTCTCGTTAACGGCACTTAACTCAGCAATCCCTGCAAAGGGGATCTTTGTGTTGTCCACACCACCTACTCATTCACCGCGCCAGCCATTAGTACGCGCTCATTCACGGCGCTTGTGGCCAAGAGTCCGTAACCGCCTTGTGCGGCTATACGGGAGGTCATTGTCCGCTTGTGCCCGCCTGCAGGTGGCTAACGGGCGGCACGTGGATACGTTCGCCAACCCCACGTTCAGCTCGCTGCTGGACGTGCTGCTGTCGTCGCTGGTGTTCGTGCTGGCCTCGCTCGCCTGTCTGCTCGTGCTGCCCCCGTGGCCCGAGGTGCCCCTGCTGCCCATGGTCACCTTCGCCGTTGCCTTCACCCTGCAACTGTTCTGCCTGCTCGTCTCCATACGGTCAGCGTCGCCATGCTGGTCGCATTCGCGCTATGAAACTACTCGACTGTAGACTGTTTTAACGCGTAGGCTTTCGATTTAAAGCTTTCGCGACTGCAGGGATTCATGTGCTTGGTTCTTTCGGTAAAGTCACGTAGAAGGGAAATAATAAAATTAAAAAAAATAAAACATTATAGTATTAACATAATAAAATACGATTGTAACATAATAACATAATAAAATACGATTGTATTTTATTATGTTTTTTTATTTTTTATTTTATTATTTCCCTTCTACGTGACTTTACCGAAAGAACCAAGAAGATGTAGGCTTTCGTGACCAATATCCATAATACAGGTTGTTTTTTTTCTTCTGCGATCTAACCCAAGAAACCAGTCTTATAAACTGGACTATGTTTTATTTGACCAGGTAAGGCCCACTGAGCTGTACTTGTACACGGCTCTTTTTCACAAGTGACCTGGCCACAAATGATAGCTCAACGAAGTGGCTTTTTCGCGTGGAAATTTACAGCGGTCAAATACTCTGAACGCACGTTGATTCTAAAGGTGGAGGGAAAAACCAGAGGACTTTGAGAAAAATCCACCCGACCATGGGGCGAAAATGCAAACTCAAAATATACACAGGCATCAAGGTCGAACCCACAACCTCCTGTATACCGAGTGAGATAGTTAACATCTCGCCACCACAGCTTCCTCGTGCGCGCTGCGTGCCGTCGGCTGCTCTAGGACACACGAACGTTGAGGATCTTCAATTCCTGCGTCCATTCATCTTCTAAGGCTCCGTGTTGTTGGCATTCACCTTGTTACCAATTTTCTTTTGGCTTGATTTAGCATTGTTTATTTGAGAACAAAAAATCGCGCGGAAAATTAGTAAGACGGGAAATAAAAACCATACCTCCATTAAAACATGCCACTTACAATCAGGACAAGCCCGTTTGTCAATCCACTACTGGATTAAGGCCTCCCATGACCATGCGGGTCTTGGGGGTTACTTGACCGTGCATCACCACACTGGTCAATGCGGGCCAGTGAAGGCGGGGAAACATCAAAGCAAAGCACAAAACTGGATTTTTCTGCCCACAATATAACCTCGCAGGCTCCTGCCCACAATATAGCCTCGCAGCCGCCTATGACGTTTGTGTGTATGTATGTTGAACACCTTTCGCACCGTACGTAGCTAACCGTGCTATTTGGAGGTGCGGATGAAGGACAAGAAAATAAACACGTCCTGCCCTACATGGTGGACACCCATATAAGCACTAACAAGGCTCAACTCCTGCTTAGCTTTTCAGATCAGATGGTGTCAGGTGCATTTCATGCGATTTCATCGTAGGCTTATCACTATAAATCCTTTATATGCGTGGCAGCTAGAGTCCTCTCGTCCTCTGGCTTGAGATGGCTGCCACCTATGGGTCAGATGATTGTGTGCCAGCATTAACCAATTGGTAATGAAATATAAAAAAAAAATTCCTAAAAAGTGTAAAAATTTGGAAAAAAAATTTCACGAAAATTAATTGTCACGCACAACGAGTCTGTGCAAAATGTCAGCTCGATTGGATCACGGGAAGTGGGTTAAAAAACGACCGAAAGATTTGCACGGTCGTAAGCGTGCAAGCAAGCAAGTGAACTTAATATAAGGGATTTAAAAATGAAGGGCACCACGGTGGCGAGATGTCAACTACCTCGCCTGGTATGAAGGAGGTTGTCGGTTCGATCCCAACCCTGATGCTTGTATATTTGCAGTCTGCATGTTCTCCCTGTGGTCGTGTAGATTTTCTCTGGGTTGTCCGGGTTTTCCCTCCACATTTATAAACATGTGTTTAGAGTATTTGGCTGCAATACATTTCCACGTGATCAACAACTTGTGGTTAGGTTATGGCTCAGTGGGCCTTACCTGATAAAATAAAAAATAGTTCAGTTTAGGATTGTAGTGGCATGGAATCAAACTGATGTTTGGAGATTGGCAGCAGAGGAGATGAGAGTACTCGTGGTTTTTCTAGAATAAAAGAAAAAGATTTTACATCAAATTTGATGTTGAGAAAACAGCATGATGGGTAACTCGGGATTAGGAACTGGTTAAAGACAAAAGACCGAGGTTGTTGGGCCCATTATTTGAGAACAGCAGATGAAAAGGCTGCAAAAAAGAGTACAAAGCAAGCGGAACAAGACCAAGAGAAAGACTGCCAATAAGATGGAAGGGGGCTCATTAAGACTTGTAGAGAAGAGGAATCACTCCGGCAATATTGCAGAGTTTAACGCTTCACCATAAAAGAGAGAGAAATGAGAAGTTAAAATATATTTTCATTGGTACAAGTCGATTAATTTCTCCTGCTTCTGTTAAAAAAACAAATGTTACCATTGCTGACTGTCGTCAAGAGCCTTCGTAAAGTTACAGAAGCACAGAGCCACGTGGTATCTTACACCTCGGCTCTGAGAGTCCTAATTTTAGGCCGCAGGGTGGGAGTGTGATGATGGCGCACGATGGGAGGAGGTTTGCCCTACCCGAAGCCAGTTGTCGCAACCGGGTACCCGATACCCGTACCCTACCCGATACCCGGCTACCCGTACCCGACCGGGTACGGGTATGGATAGCCGTTTGCGACCCTGGTGCGGCCGGGTATGGGTACGGGTAGACCGTGAGTCACTGGTGAGTAACTGTTTGTCACTCATTTCGGGTAGGGTACGGGTAGGGAACGGGTACCCGTACCTGGCCGGGTACGGGTAGCCGTTTGCGACCCTGGTGCGGCCGGGTACGGGTAGACCTTGAGTCACTGGTGAGTAACTGTTTGTCACTCATTTCGGGTAGGGTATGGGTACGGGTAGGGAACGGGTACCCGTACCTGGCCGGGTACGGGTACGGGTAGCCGTTTGCGACCCTGGTGCGGCCGGGTACGGGTAGACCTTGAGTCACTGGTGAGTAACTGTTTGTCACTCATTTCGGGTAGGGTATGGGTAGGGAACGGGTACCCGTACCTGGCCGGGTACGGGTACGGGTAGCCGTTTGCGACCCTGGTGCGGCCGGGTACGGGTAGACCTTGAGTTACTGGTGAGTAACTGTTTGTCACTCATTTCGGGTAGGGTATGGGAACGTGTACCCGTACCTGGCCGGGTACGGGTACCCATTTGCGACCCTGGTGCGGCCGGGTACGGGTAAGGAATCAAAACCCGTTTGCGACCTCTGCCCGAAGCCCGTGTCGCTGATCCATTGCCGCTGCTCCCTGCTGCCGCCGCTGCTACAGGATGGTGTTCTTCCTGGAACACGTCCTCACGTGCACGCGGCTCGTCATGGAGTTTGTGTCTGGCTGGATCCCGCGCCACCTGATCGGGGCGCTGTACGTGTCTCTGCCGGCCGTCATGGTGCTCACGCACTTCACCTGCCACCTGGACTCACGGCACACGGTGCGTATTGCGTTGGGCACGCGCTGGGCACACACCGGGCATGATTTGAACTTGCAACCTTCCAATTGCGAGCCGCTCGCTCTACCTCTGAGCGACCAGGCCGGTCCAACTCACAACACACGGTGCATATTGCGCCGGGCACACGCTGGGCACGCGCTGGGCATGATTTGAACTTGCAACCTTCCAATTGCGAGCCGCTCGCTCTACCTCTGAGCGACCAGGCCGGTCCAACTCACAACACACGGTGCATATTGCGCTGGGCACGCGCTGGGCACGCGCTGGGCACACACCGGGCATGATTTGAACTTGCAACCTTCCAATTGCGAGTCGCTCGCTCTACCTCTGAGCGACCAGGCCGGTCGAACTCACGGCACACGGTGCATATTGCGCTGGGCACGCGCTGGGCACACACCGGGCATGATTTGAACTTGCAACCTTCCAATTGCGAGCCGCTCGCTCTACCTCTGAGCGACCAGGCCGGTCCAACCCACGGCACACGGTGCATATTGCGCTGGGCACGCGCTGGGCACACACCGGGCATGATTTGAACTTGCAACCTTCCAATTGCGAGCCGCTCGCTCTACCTCTGAGCGACCAGGCCGGTCCAACTCACAACACACGGTGCATATTGCGCTGGGCACGCGCTGGGCACACACCGGGCATGATTTGAACTTGCAACCTTCCAATTGCGAGCCGCTCGCTCTACCTCTGAGCGACCAGGCCGGTCCAACTAAAATAATGTGGTGAAATTACATGTAGAGATAACAACATCTAAATTCAGAGCCTCTACTGTCGCTTTCACAAGATTCACTCTCCTGTTGAGAATAAAGTAAGTGGATCTTTAAAAGTCAGTAACATGTCTATAAATAGATAACTGTTTTATTGAAACAAATAAGTAGACATTATGCCTCCTTTCCAAATCTGTATCCACGTAATATTTTTTTTAAGTATGTGTTTTCATATCACAATGGCCACATGGGAGTATTTTGTCAGCATAATGATATGCATGTTGAACTTATTTCACGCAGAACATAGCCAACTGTAATTGGCTGCATACAAGCAAACTCTGGAGCGGTTTGAACCTTCAGTTTCTCATTAGCAGTCAGCCTTGCTTGAGCCAATGCTGGTGAGCGAACTGCCAGATGTTTGTCGGCAAGGGGGTCCCTCCCTCTGAGAATCCACGTATTCATTTTGCTCTGCAGCCTTGTTAATTCGCGCTGCAGTAGCGGGAGTCGGCCACCAGGGGTAGCTCGGTGGGCTTCCGCATCTCTCTTGAGAATGGGAAATCCAAAACTCGGCACACAGGCCCCAAGCGCCACATCCGGGTTTCCGTGTTTACAATTTTTTTTTTACTTCTAAACTATCGTTATTTTTCGATTTAAAGCTTTCGTGACTGCAGGGATTCATGTTCTTGGTTCTTTCGGTAAAGTCACGTAGAAGGGAAATAATAAAATAATAAAAATACAACATTATTAAATAATTCTCACGACGTTTCGGCCACAACGCAAGCAGCCGTCCTCAGGTGAAGAAACAGGTCTGTCGGAAAGACAGCGTCTGAATGAATATAGTTATTTTACCAGGTAAGGCCAGCTGAGTTATATAGAACATTTTCAGAAGCGACCTGGCCATAAATGATAGCCCAATGAAGTGGCTTGTCATGTGGAAATGTTATTGCAGACAAATACTCTAAACGCATTATTCTAAATGTGGAAGGAAAAACGGGAGGACCCGAATAAAAATCCACGTGACCACGCGGAGAGAGACATGCAAACTCCAAATTTACAGCGGTCAGGGTTGGGATCGAACCCACAACCTCCTCCTTACCAGGCGAGGTAGTTAACATCTCACCACAGCTGCATGTGTCCTGCCATCATATGCAATTGATGGAGAATATTGGCGGATTGATGAGAATCAGACTGTGGTACAACCCTATAGTGAAAAGTAGGTGGGGGGGGGGAGTAAATGGTAAACTTGAAAACACGGGCACATTATACTGGTAGGAACCTCCTGGTTACACCAGCCCACAAGGGATTATTGTGTCCGTCCAGTCGTGCAGGGAGGGGCTGGGTGAGGAGGGAGAGGCTGGGTGGGGAGGGGAGGGTGGGGAGGGGCTGGGTGGGGAGGGGCTGGGTGGGGAGGAAAGGGGCTGGGTGGGGAGGGGCTGGGTGGGGAGGGTGGGGAGAGGAGGGGCTGGGTGGGGAGGGGCTGGGTGGGGAGGGTGGGGCTGGATGGGGGGTGGGAGGGGTGGGGCTGGGTGGGGAGGGGCTGGTCACCCCGTGGTGCCCTTATAAAACTCAACGTTTAACCTACTCACGCCGGCTTGTGCCCGCCCTCACAGTCGGGCATATTTGCGGAATACACCACGCCGCCGTTGACCCTGGCCATTGACCGAGCAACCCAACGTTCCTACCAGCTCCCTCCGCAGGAATATGTTATGGTTATGGGTGTTTGCCAAACTGGCGAACTTGTAAATAAAATCCACGCTGCTGTGATATATTGCAGTCACGTTAATTGACAAATGGTTCAGCGGTAGAGTGAGCGGCTCGCAGTTTGAAGGTTGCGAGTACGAATCCTGATTGGATGGTTGAATCGGGCCACCGTCCCTCCAGGGTTAATAAACTGAGTGCGACTTTGTGGGAAAGCCATTACACGGGACCATTGCCGTACGTATAGACTCACCCCTGTCACAGCAGCGTGGAATTTCTACCTCCGGCTCAGGGATGTTAGTAGGACATGAGCACAGCTTAAAATGCTGATTTGGAGAAAAAAAAAAATGTTTACTTCATAAGAAACGTAGAAGGGGTTGCTGAGAGTACTCAGCGCATGCTTGGAGCGTTTCCCCCACTCGCTCAGAGCACGGCTTCATCTGGGTCTGAGCGCCCGCAAGTGGGGATGCATTGCCGCTGCGCCGCAATCATGCCCGGCCACTGCAGGACCTGCTCTGGTTGCTAGGGCTCCAGGTTGACAGTTTTTTTTTCTTTCTGATAGGTGTAGTGTGCGGGGTTCGGGGCGGGTCACAACTCACTTTTATGATTTCATTACATGGGGCCATTGATTTTGAAGTGAAGTTTTATTCTACATTACCAGTGTATTGGCTTTTACCATTAATTGATATTTACTGTCTTGATTTTGTTCCTTGGGCATTGCTGTTTTTTTTTTAAAGAGCTCGTTTTTTTTTATTCCGTGATAACCGTCGAATATTGCGCGTGCGCGTTTAAGATTCCGTGGCAATGTTCGCTGCCGCAGACCATTGTGTATCGCAGCTATCCATGGTCGGATCCGTCAAGTTCACAACATTTCATAAATTTCGATTTAAAGCTTTCGTAACTGCAGGGGATTCATCTTCTTGGTTCTTTCGGTAAAGTCACGTAAAAGGGAAATAATAAAATAATAAAAATAAAAGATAATAAAATGATTCTCATGACGTTTCGGCCACAACGCAAGCAGCCGTCCTCAGGTGAAGAAAAGGTCTGTCGGAAAGACAGCAGTCTCATTCAGATGCTGTCTTTCCGACAGACCTGTTCTTCACCTGAGGACGGCTGCTTACGTTGTGGCCGAAACGTCGTGAGAATTATTTTATGATGTTTTATTTTTATTATTTTATTATTTACCTTCTACGTGACTTTACCGAAAGAACCAAGAAGATGAACATTTCATTAATTAGCAGATTGCGCCCGTGTTGCTTGCCCCCATGCCAAACCTGTAGTGGAACCCTTTGACCCTCATGACCATGAGACAAAGATGCACCGCGTTAAAACTGGCAATAACGGTTTCCATCTCGGCATACACAAAGCCATGGTGCGTCCAACATGGAATGTATCTTTCAACTTCTGCCCTACTGTAACGAGACGAGCCTTGAGTAATTTAGCAGAATAAGTCCATGGTAAGGTACCTGCCCGAGGAAGACCAAGCCTAGAAGAAGCCCTGCAAGTGGCCCGTTCTCAGGTAGTCCGAGCTGGGGGTGTGCACGGCATTTAAGAAGAGACGGGCGATCTGGGTGAATGAGCATCTGCTGATGAGCGTTTGGGGGGGTTGTGAGGGAACTGACTTGTCCCCCCCCCCTCTCCGTCCCTCACCTCGGCAGACTCGCCTGTTCTTCTGCTGCGTCATGATCGTGGGTGTCACTCACTACCTCAATTTCTGCCAGCTGAGCTCGTGGCTGCGCTCCAGCCTGGCGACGGTGGTGGCCGCGCTGCTGCTGCTGCTCATCTACGTGCCCGTGTGCGGGGACAGGCCCTGGGGCGCCGGGTGAGCACGACGTGCGGACAGCAGAAGTCGCAGACGGGTTTTGATTCCGATGTAAAGCTTTCGTGACTGCAGGGATTCATCTTCTTGGTTCTTTCGGTAAAATCACGTAGAAGGAAAGTAATAAAATAATAAAAATAAAACATAATAAAATAATTCTCACGACGTTTCGGCCACAACGCAAGCAACCGTCCTCAGGTGAAGACCAGGTTTGTCGGGGAGACAGCGTCTGAATGAGCAAGCAGCCGTCCTGAGGTCTTCACCTGAGGACGGCTGCTTGCGTTGTGGCCGAAACGTCGTGAGAATTATTTTATTATGTTTTATTTTTATTATTTTATTACTTCCCTTTTACGTGACTTTACCGAAAGAACCAAGAAGAGGGTTTTGATTCCTTACCCTTACCCGTACCCGGCCATACCAGGGTCGCAAACGGGTACACGTACCTGTACCCTACCCAATACCCGGCTACCCGTACCCGGCCGAGTATCGGGTAGGGGACCCGATTGCGACCTCTGGGATGAAGCCATGTTGCAGGTGCGGGTGGGCTGATTCTAGGAACTTGAATTGTGAGAAGAGACAAGACGTTGGGAAATGAGTGACAAACGGTTACTCACCAGTGACTCACGGCCTACCCGTACCCGGCCACACCAGGGTCGCAAACGGGTAACTGGGTATCGGGTAGGGTACGGGTATCGGGTACCCGATTGCGACCTCTGGGATGAAGCCACGTTGCAGGCGCGGGTGGGTTGATTCTAGGAACGTGAATTGTGAGAAGAGACAAGACGTTGGGAAATGAGTGACAAACGGTTACTCACCAGTGACTCACGGCCTACCCGTACCCGGCCGCACCAGGGTCGCAAACGGGTACCCGTACCCGGCCGGGTACGGTTAGCCGGGTATCGGGTAGGGTACGGGTATCGGGTACCCGGTTGCGACCTCTGGCGGGCAGGCCGGTTTGGCCAACATGAACCGTGGCGCGCGCACAGTTGGCTGTCTTGTCACGAGGGATTTCATTTCGGAAGATAGGACAACGTGTTAGGACCAATTATTGACATGGAAGTACAGTAAGCGCCTGCCTACTGGCAGAGGTAGCAAAGGAGACTTTTGGTTATTATCGCACAGAATAGGGAGAGAAGAGAGTCATTATTCTGGGTTAAAACAAAGGGAGTACAAATACTGAAAGCAGCAGGGGGAAGACTGCAGCTCACAGGAGTAGCAGGAGAGGAGAGGCCTCCCGTTGTGTGGAGAACCTTCAGGGTTGACCTCCGATCTGGTCAGTTTGCACTGGCTGGAGGGAAAAGTCTCACGGTTTTGTGCTTTGCCACGTTATTCTCTCCATCGCAGCAATGAGTCCCTGCCGCTGAACGTGAGCGCGCCCGTGGTGTCCGTGCCTCTCGCGACGCTGTCAGCCGCCCAGGGAGGGCACGGCGGCAACAATGGGAGTGTGCGGGGCTGGGAGCTGGCGGCTGATCTCCTGCTGCTGGTGCTGCTCATCTGGTTCCTGAACCGCGAGTTCGAGGTGGCCTACCGCCTCAACTACCACGGCAACGTCGAGGCGGAGTTGCACCAGCGCAAGATCCAGCACATGAAGAACCAGGCCGATCTGCTGCTGCACAACATCATCCCCGGGCACGTGGCCGACCAGCTGAAGGTGCAGCCGCACTACTCCAAGAACCACGAGGACGTGGGCGTCATCTTCGCGAGCATCGTCAACTTCAGCGAGTTCTACGAGGAGAACTACGAGGGGGGCAAGGAGTGCTACCGCGTGCTGCACGAGCTCATGTCCGACCTGGACCAGCTGCTGGCGCGCGAACACTACGGGGGCATCGAGAAGATCAAGACCATCGGTGCCACCTACATGGCGGCGTCGGGACTCAACGTGCCGGAGCCGCGTGCGGGTGATGCGCACGCGCACCTGCGCACGCTCTTCGAGTTTGCGCGCGACATGATGAGCATTGTAGAGGACTTCAACAAGGACATGCTGTGGTTCAACTTCCGCCTGCGGATCGGGTTCAACCACGGGCCGCTCACGGCCGGCGTCATCGGCACGACCAAGCCGCTGTACGACATCTGGGGCGATACGGTGAACATCGCCAGCCGCATGGACTCAACGGGCGTCGACTGCCGCATACAGGTGCCACCCACCCCTCCAACTTTGTGTTGCTCGTTCACTCGCTGACTCGCTCACTCGCTGACTCGTTCACTCGCTGCCTCGCTGACTCGCTCACTCGCTGACTCGCTCACTCGCTGACTCGCTCACTCGCTGACTCGCTCACTCGCTGACTCGCTCACTCGTTCACTCGCTGACTCGCTCACTCGCTGACTCGCTCACTCGCTGCAACTACAACAGCACAGCAGCATCACGTGATTGTGGTCGTTTCCGACACGAGCAATCTTGTAATTCTACAGGGACCAATGCGTTCCCGATTTTGCATTTATAAACAGCCGGTGGTGTGACCAGCACTAATATATGATAGTGAACGTATGGGCAAGCATAGGGAGGCGGTGCACAAGAAATGTTTGTTTTTTAATGCTTGAATGCACAGAAATAAGTGTGCGATACGAGGTGAAATGCGAGTCTGGAGGACCCTCGACGCTGTGGGTGACGATCTCTCCACATCCATACATCGCCCCGTCAGACGTGTCCACAATAAATCCCACGTGTTTCTTGACCGCATGGCACCGTCTCTCTGTTGGACCCTTCGCATTGTGCCCTCGTGCATTCTCCCAACCTCTTCAACGTCGCGTGCCCCCGCCCCCCCGCAGGTGAGCCAGGAAAGCTACCACGTGCTGTGCGACATGGGCTACCAGTTCGACTACCGAGGCACGGTCAACGTGAAGGGCAAGGGCCAGATGAAGACGTACCTGTTCCCGCCCACGGACGGGGGCCACGCCGCGCCGCAGCCTCCGCCGCCGCCGCTGCCGCCGCTGCTGCCCATGACGCCCGACATCCACACGCAGGTGGACGGCAGCATCGGGCGCTCGCCCGCGGAGGAGGAGGCCCACAGCCTCCTGGCGTCGCTGTCGGCGTCCGACGCGTGCATCATCACGTTCTCCGAGTCTCCGCCGCGCGGCGGCGGAGGGGGCGGCGACTCCCCCCGTCGCGCGCTGGCGGGGGGCGTGCGCGGCCAGCGCGCCTCGTCGCTCTCGAGCTTGCCGCACGGCGCAGGTCCCCGCGGGCGCCGCCGTGGCTACGCGAGGCCGCCCATCTCCGCCGCCGCCGCCGCCCTCGCGTTCTCCGCGCCGCCTCCTCCCGCCCACAACGGCGTGGGTGCCGACGCGCGCCCCGCCGAGAAGGGGCTGCGGACTCGCAGTCGCACGAGGGAGGACGGCGGCAGAGAAGGCGGCGGCGGCGGAGACTGCCAGTAGCGATTTGGACGATGGGGGTGGCGCAGTGAAGGACAGCAGCAGAGCGAGCAGCGGAGTGGACAGCGACGAGGGCAGCGAGGAGGAGGAGGAGGAGCCTCCTCCTCCAGGACCGTGTGGTGGCAGAGAGGGCGGGGGCCTCGTACCGGAGTGTCGGCCCAACGGGGTGGAGTGTCGCTTCCCCGCAGAAGCTGAGCGCGCTGGCATGTGCATGCAGGACTCCGTATGAGGCCCGGCCTGGCACAGATGGTGGTGGTGGGTGGTGGCTGTCTCCTGAGGTACACAGGACGACTCTTCAGTTAGGGGTCTCCAGCCAAGACTTTCAACTGCTTAAGTGCCTTGCTGAAGGGAAGCCTGTGTTTGCTTAACGTTGTTGTTTTCTCGAATGGCTGTGTTCTAACGGCAGGGCAGGCGATTAAAACCCGAATTTCACAATTGTGGTGTTGGGATCTTGGAAAAAACAAGGTGGTGACTTCATGAAGGGGAATCAGCAGCTGACTGGAAATGGTCTCGTTAATAATTATTATAATTATGTAGCTGAAAATATACAAATACGATTGTTTACACAGTTCATGTGTAAGTATTCACCAGGTACAGAAAGTTCTACTCAAGCTTAGGGTGGAACAAGACCCCGTCAAAAGTCAACTTTTAAAATGACGAAACCTGCCAGTGCTAAACATTAATGGAGGAGTTTTCGAGCTTCACCACTAGCAACGTAAATTACCGTTCCCTCGAAAAAAAAAGAATCCCTAACCCGATTAGAGACTATGATAGTGACCATTTATTTTGCTAAAAAATCCCAGGGTCACCATAGCTACGAAGGGGAGCGTTCCCGTGATAAACAACTTAAGTTATGGGTACATTTCGAATACAACATTTGAACTTTGTCACGGGCAGAAAAATTTGCCCAGACTTTCGAACGACGTCGCGGGGTTCTTAACTATTTCCACCCTTACGTTGTGCAGCGGAGCTTTTAGTGATTTCCCTGACCGGAGTCTAGTGGCGTCACCTCCTTGGCTTGACGGGGGAGACGTTTGTGCCGCCCGCCGCTGCCCCATGAATTAAAACTCGAGGCGCGAGCGCCGCGCAAGTAGCGTGACGCGTGTGCTGGCCCCGATAGCACCGAGAGGGGCAGGTGCAGCTCGGTGCTTAACGTTGCCGGTGCCCCGTCTGTGTTAATGCGGAGACGTACGCACACACACACACGCACCAAAGCCTGTGTGCGGAATGCAGCTTTAAAAGAGAAGGGCATTTGCGTAAAAATATATGCATTTTGCGGTCTTATTAGCCCGTGGAAGTGGACTGTACATAGTTTACCCATCGCCGCCTTTTGTGGACGGGATGCAGTGCAGTATAAAGGAGCTGTCCGTGGGTGTTTGTGTGTGCGTGTACATGTGTTCATAGATGTGTTTGTGTTGCACTGCATACATACATGCACGTATGTATGCGTGTACGTCTGGCGTACTTGTCTTCGCACACATCTGCGTGTGTGTTCGTCGCGTCTGTACATACCTACGTGTGTTACGTGTATATGTGTGTACATGTATTTGCGAATACGTATCGGTGTAAGTGTGCACGTCACTGTGTACTTGTACGCGCGCATCTTTGTACTCCTATTGAAGCCTCAACAATTGCGCAAGCCTTTCCCCTAATGAAAACAGCAAACAGTGCAAATGTGAGCGGTAGGCCGGCTGCAGCCGCTGAGCAAACGACCAGAGCCAGAGACGCTCCCGTGGGGTTCTGGCTCAGTAACCAATGTCTGTACCGCGTGTCAGAATTCACACTTCCGAAGCAATTGTTCTTTTTTTGTGCGTGTGCGAAAACAAGGCTCGCAGTGGCTTTTTTCCCCCCCCTCCGTGTGCGCCTTAGTGCTAAGCCTCAGCGAGACGAAACGCTTGGACGGGCACGGTGCTGCTGCTGGGACGCAGTGGTGGACCTTGACATAGCAGAATTACAGACAGCGGCCGCAGTAGAATTGAGGAGGCGTCGTCTGCAGAGCTCCGTGATCGCCAAACACAAGACTTTATGCAACTTTACGAACCAAGAACTGTTAGTTTTGAACTCTTTTACCAGAATGCTGCACACATCGGCCAAAAAAAAAAATGGTTTGCAGATCGCGACGCGAACACGTGTACAACCGACCCCGGGCGCTCGCGTGAATTTGTGGATTTTTTTTTCGTCCTACAGTCGGGACCCTTTGCTTGACTGCTCAGAGCGTTAACTTGAGGGCAGGTGGGCACCGAGTGGAGAGGGCTCGACTCCTGTATAATTGGCCAGGGTCTGGGCCCCCTCTCCCCATGCAGTCTTCATCTTGGAAACGAAATTATCGATGGAAATATTTGTCAAGGAGGCGTATTTTATTTGGGTGAACCGATGACTACGAGTGGAGAAAAATCATCAAGCATGACTACGGTGACTACGATTACACCCACCAAAGACCATCGCTTGACTGCCTTTGATGAGACGAAATGAACGAGTCTGATTGAAGGCACAGACGCAGATAATTTAGTAACATTATGAGAGACTGCAATGCAGAAGGAAGACCAAAAATGGTAATTGGCTATGTGTGTATTTTGAATGATTGAGCGATCTCATAGTATTGGGTGGAACAAATTGCCACGGCCTTCGCGCCAACATTAAACCATGAGCCGACTAGACCAAGAGAATTATTCAATGAAATCCACCTACTTAAACCTGAATAAAACTCCACAGGTTGCCATCGACTAGATACGGAACACGACCAAGAATAAAATGCTCTTACAAAATGAACACTGCTCCTGTGCCCACGTCACACCACACCGCGCACCCCCCAACACCTTGCGTCAGTGCGCATGACTACACCGGATCGATTGGTTGGTGCATGTCGCGCAAGGGCGCAAGGCGAGACTGGTTTGTGGGCAAATCCTGGGCCATGGCGTGAAACCAATGATGTCTTAAATCTCCTGCATTTTCACTGGATCTTTGAATTTTTTTTTTTCTTTTTCAAATTGCCTCATCCGGCCGCTTGAATTTTTAAAAAAAATTCCCGTAAAGAAGTGAATTTGTCCTATCCTTGTACATTTTTGCGATTGACTGAATTGCTAACTTGGGGTTTTTTTTCACTTGCTTTTTTGTTTAAGAAAAAAGTGTGTTGCATGGTATTAAATTTTCTAATTTGCCATTTCATTGGAAGCAACCTTTACTCACGTGCCATGGTCCACGCCCAGAACGCAAGGCAATCCTTTTCGGCAGAGGCGTTTCATTCAGGGGGCGTCGTACGCATCATTGCAAGCAATCAAGCACGATCAAACGTGGAGGATACAGTCCAGATCAGAAAAATTGCTTCTTTCATTGTGTACGACTTTTGGAGACTCTAAAACTTTCGATGGTGACACGGCCAGACAGGCCACTTACCCACAAACCTCTGCTTTGAGCAACCTCCCCCCCCCCCCCCCCCCCCCCAAGTTACATTTTTGCTCTTAAAGTTCTGCAGCAGCCAAACAAGTGTTTGCCATATCTAACAAAATTCTTATTTGGAAAAGGAGTTCCGGTTGATGTCGGCTGCCCCTGTTGAGCGAGTGTGGGGTAGTGGTGCTCTCACGTTATTCCCCTCGTCGTTTCCGGTGAGCTGCAATGTTTTTCTTTTGGGTCTCGTGCGCCAGCCGGGTTCAGGACGCAAACGCACTCACGGAATACTCCAGCCCCCCCTGCCCCCCTGCCCCCCCAGCTGCACCGTGACGTTAATCTGTGTGGCATGTGACCACGCACGGCAGGTCTTTGGCTGCATCATCACATGCGATTGCACATCCACCGTTCACAAGTTCTGACACTATTATGCAATTCTCTTAAATGTGTAATTTAGTATATAAATGTAAAAAGTAAAAAAATATATATAAATATATCTTAATGCTTTAAGTAATAATAGGAATCGATGATGAAGTATGTTAATTGTCACAGTTGCACCTGCCCCCCGGGGGGCTGTCATTTTGTGATGTAGCAATACACGACAGTTTTGGTTTGACACCTTGTACATTTTGGGAGACGTTCATCCCAGTCCATATGCAGGCAAGAACACTTGTGTTTTTTTATAATTGGTTGTTGGTGAAGATTATAAAGACACCAGGTGAATCCAGTATTGTGTGTGTGTGGCCAGGCTTACCGTGGACGTGAACTGATCATTATGGTGTTATCCATGCCACCAATCCTCCCCCCTGATATTCCCATCGGCTGCGCAGAGAGCAGGGGTAGTAGTAGCCTTGTGCACGGCACTGGGAGAGAGATGGCGTAAACCGCGTTCGAGGATGATCGTCCCAACTAATTTTATATATGCCCTGCACATTTTCCCGAATTTAAATTTGCATTACAGCAGGGGGGGGGCCCTTAAGCTTTGTCCTGAACTGTTTTGGGGTCATGTTCTCTTTTCATGTTCTCATTTTTGCCCATTTTGCTACCGGTGTTGGCTACCCTGTGAAGTTTGGTTTCATCATCGGAATCTGCTACCAAGTGACTCGCCAGGCATGAAGCAGCTCCGGGTTTAGCGACACATCTGGACTTCCTTCGCATTTTCAAATGTGTGTTTTTTTTCTTTCATACCAATTGAAGTGCTTTGTAATGTCTAAAGGCAATGAGGGGGGACCTTCTGGTGTGCAATGTAGGAGCTGCTTCTTTCCGGGATGTATTTCCTCTTGGTATGCACATTTATCGGTTTGGAATTAAACTTTGCTCCGTAACTCACATACGTATCAGGATTGGCTAAAAAGGCTTAAAAGTACATAACGTGTTTGAAACTTTAAAGAAAAGATCACCATGTGCGTTTTCAGCATATAGCATTAATTTTAGTTTTGTACGCGACAAGGAGGCATGTAACGATGCATCAATTCCCCGATTAAAATCAAGTCGTACCCTTGCGATAAATACATTGCATTGTGCGTCTGAGAATTATTTACAGTTTATGCAAATGATATGCAAGTCTTACATTCGGGTTAATGGGGCGAACAAAAAAACAAAGAACAACAACAAGATATGTAAATAAGGTTATGAAATCTTGACTTTAAGCTTTCGTGACTGCAGAAATTCATATTCTTTGGGTCTTTCGGTAAAATATATTTTAGAAACCACGATGTTTATATCGCAACACAAGCGGTCGTCTTGTGGTGCAAACCTGTCTACGTGACTTTACCGAAAGACCTAAAGAATATAAGGTTATGAAAGTGAGATGGCAATTATCAACCTCGAGCCATGACAATTAATTCAATCATCTGGTGGCGGTGGAGGGGGGGGATGACTCATTACATGCCTAGCGACAAGGAAGCGTTTGCAGGAACCTGCATTAATCTGCAGGTAGCATCAACGTACTGAGTAGCCCTCCTTAGCTTGGTATCCTCATTGTCTTGCCCTCGCACCTCCGATTAGCACGGTATGGCTACGTACGGTGTGAAATAAATTTCGATTTAAAGCTTTCGTGACTGCAGGGATTCATCTTCTTGGTTCTTTCGGTAAAGTCACGTAGAATGGAAATAATAAAATAATAAAAAATAAAACAATATAATAATTCTCACGACATATCAAGAGGAATTTAGCATATTTATACATAGCATATTTATATACTAAATTCCTCTTGATATACAAATTCCTTTGTCAAGGCGCTCTTCCCCCTCCAACCCAGCTTAAATATACGCTGCCAAGCCTGGTGGTGTTCATTCAGACGCTGTCTTTCTGACAGACCTGTTCTCCACCTGAGGACGGCTGCTTGCGTTGTGGCCGAAACGTCGTGAGAATTATAAAGTTTTATTTTTATTATTTTATTATTTCCATTCTACGTGACTTTACCGAAAGAACCAAGATAAAGGTGTGAAATAAGTTCAACATACGTACGTATCACCGTGCAGAAGCAAGCAGGACTCGGCCTCGGCGAAATGCACAGCAGCTTCAAAGTCTTAGAAAGCACAATGCCTATTTGATTTCATCACTGAACAATTGTTCAAAACAAGTCAATGACAGTCACGACATGTTTTTGTTCTTTAACTATACCACCAACAAAATGGTTGCGGCTCAAATTAATCTTTACTTGAGGACGTGTCGTCACATTGGAACTGTCTGTCATCTCAATTCGCGGTGGTGAGATGTTCGCTCTCTTTCCTGGAATGCAGGACGTCATGGGTTAGATCCCGACCCTGACGCCTGTATATTTGGAGTTTAAATGTTCTCCCAGCGGTCGCGTGGATTGTTCTCCAGGACCTCCGGGCTTTTCCCTCCACATTTATAAAAACATGCATTTCGATTATTTGGCTGCTATACATTTCCACACGATAAGCCACTTCGTTGAGCTATCATTCGTGGCCAGGTCGCTTCTGCAAAAAATCTGCATCGCTCAGTGGGCCTTACGTGTTAAAATACAATTTTGAAAAAAAAGGCAGTTTAGTTTTAAGTCTTGAGCAGTTGATTGTGAGGCTGATACCGTGGTACACCTGGACCTGGAATTCTCGTAGTGACGCACAAATGGAACGAACACGTCGCCGCACGGATGCTGGTTTTCTTCTGCCGGGATGCGTGGAAACGTGCAGCTCGCTCTGCCTTTTACAGGCCGATGTGACCCCCCCCCCCTCATTGTTGTTGGACTTTTGAGGAGGTCACTCGTTCATGTCGACTGTCATCACGCCCAAACAAAATACACGCGTACAGACTTTAGCGCAGTGGTTTCCGCCACGTCGCACCATTGAAGGCACACCAAGAGGTCCTGGCACGTGGTGCGTTTGCAAAACAGGGTTCAAAGGAGATGGCTCTGCATGGCCGCTGGCTCGGATTGGTTCGCAGTATGACCGCGCGCGAACAACGCGATATACGAGGATGTGTACTGCGGTTTGCAGGGATTTTGCAGCTTGGTTCCTTAAACCAGTTGATATTGCAACTAAAATTGCCCCATTCGAAACAAAACCACCGCTTCGTTTCACAGTGAAAGGGGCGCTCAGTGTGCAGTGTTTTCGGAACGATTCTTTTGGATGTGGCTCTGTTTGCCTGTAAGCATGGCTTCATAGCTACACGAAGGTGCTCATCATTCGTTAGCTTACGATAATGTATTAACGCCACACTTGTGAAATCTGTCGGCATACTTTTACGATCGTATTGGATTTTTGTATGCAAAAAAGTGTGACAGGTTAGTCCGCCGTTAATGTATACGACTATACACGTCTTAATTCATTTCATTGTTTTGCAATTAATGCGTTGTACCGTCGAAAAAGGAACAAAAATATCCACGCGGAATTCTCACCTTGCCACGGCTGCGTCGCATTGTCAAGGCGCACGTGCCGGTGAGAGCCGGAACTGAACGATTTGCTGGCATTTGGCCACTGCCACAGGACCCCTTTCCGCATCAACAGTGCCCCCGTGTTCACATTGCAGCGCAACTTTGGTGCGTGTGTCAAGTGGGGCACAGCATTTACACACACACAGTCTCGTCTTGAGTGACTGATGTGGAAAGGTTAACTGTTGTGTTTCCAAAGGTGCGGAGGGCTATGCATTGTTACCACATGGCTTCGTAGTCCTACTTGGGCGTGGCAGACAATACACCGGATTAAATTAAACGCTTTAACCAAAAAAACTTTTCAAAGCGTAAACCCACCTTTTTTAGGCGCGGTTAAAACATTGCGACGTTTTGATGGTTTAAACTTGGCTTTACACGAACCGTTTAGTTAAATTGGTCGCGCTAAACAGGTTTGTTTTCCTCTTGTGCGAAAAGGGCTTAGCGACCTTTCCCAGGGTGGGTTATTATTGTTGTCTCGCTTACAGGATTTGAAGGATTGGGAGGATTGCTTCAGCGCTGCCGAGGAAACTCTGTTGAGGAAGCCCACCGCAATGTCAGGCTTTCTGAAGCAGCACCACAGCATGGAAAAATTGCGACGGACAAAATATAAAATTGCCTTTTAGGCTTTAACTCAAGCTGCTGGGAGTGGGCTCTCGTGTGTGCGATGACTTAAACACAAGAACATCGCTCGTTCGTGGCTGCCGAGTCCAGAACCCCCTTCGCCTATAGCCATGTGGAGTTCTATGCGAGGGGGGTGGGGGGGAGCCATGCGCGTTTTGTTTGCGCTAACTGCCCACGTTCTTGCGGGCAGTCATCGCAGCCCCCAAATGTCTGTACAGCGGACGGGCTAAAATTGCACTCCCGAAACGTGCAATGCGCAGCGTTCAGAGCGCCCAACACGATTTACTTAAGCTCTTTGGCCCCGCGGCTTGCCCCGGGTGAGAGTGTTCGTCTTCTTGGCGTGCGCGCGACATTGGCGGATGCTGCTGTTGAGCAATCGGTCGTCCATCTGGAGGTGTTGTTTATGGGCATTCCCTGCCCTTCCCAGCCGATGGGTTCTCATTAGCTCGGCACGTTGTTTTAGCCGGTGTACGACGTTGATTTTTGGAGTCTAACTTTTTTTTCTGCCTCCTTTCAAGAGTGTCTATTACAACCGCTCCCATTAAAAAAATACGCCCAATATAGACTCTAACATGTATGAACAACGGTACGATTTCACGAACATCGGAAATCCTCCACTTGCGAACAAGTGTAGATAAAGGAATGTTTTTTTCTTTTAAAGTTTTCTTTGAAACACATTGCTCTCAAAGTGTACGGAGGCTTTGATGCTAACGTTTTGCCTCGCGATGCCTGTGTGTTGTGCGGCCTCTTTGCATGTGTACGGGCGCGCTGCGACAGGGTCGCGTTGGGTTGCAAGAGCATCACCCGCGTGCATTGATTGATAGAAACACCCTATGGGTGACACCCTCGTCCACATTCTGGTTCTGTAAAGACCAGGGCACTCGCTCAGGAGCAACTACTTGTGGCATGCAACATTTGGGTCATCCCCTGTTCAGTGTTATACAGAAGCGTGTGGCCATTGCAGTGGCCAATTTGAAAAGCCTATTAACGAGCGATCGTGTTCCGTTTGTTGTATTGTTGTACGTCTTAGCCACGTCGCCTATAACCGTTTTCAACTCGACGAGCGGGCAACCATTCCACTGTTCCCAGTCCATATCATATTTGGGGGGCGGGGGTGGGGGGCATAAATTGTGCATTGCAGAATGAATTGGTTCAGCTCTCTTCCAGCTTAGAGAGCTGTTCGATATTGACCAGTCAGTTGTCGATTGCCATTGATCCACCCTATGTCCAGTCCACATCAAACTGCCGTTGTCCCGGGAGATTGTGGAATAGCCAACGAAGAAAGCATTTGGTAGAATCAGGAACAGCCTAGGGAGCCTTGGTGTGGCAGTGGCACAAGGTTTCCCACGTGTCCAAGAACACACCTCCATGCCGCCGTTGAGATGAAATGACCCATATTCTTCGGTTTTTTCGGTGAAGTCACGTAGGTAAAAAATTAAAATTAATAAAAGTTAATTAAAAAATAAAAATCACGACGTTTCGGAGGCAACACAAGCTTGTTGCCTCCGAAACACAAGCTTGTTGCCTCCGAAACGTCGTGATTTTAATTTTAAATGTACTTTTATTAATTCAAATTTTTTACCTACGTGACTTTACCGAAAAAACCTAAGAATATGAATCCTTGCAGTCACGAAAGCTTAAAATCTAGAATGAAATTACCCCCTGTCTGGGCTTTGCAAAACGCTTCAACATTTTTGCGTGCACATCGACACCCGTAATTTTGTTGTGACGGATAAATCATTGTTCGTGGATGCAACTTAAGTTAGGGGCAAGCAGGAACGTTTTGTAAATTCCAGACTTGGGTGTCCACGAGTAGCGTGCACGGATGCATCCTGGTACATCTGAGATTACCCACCAGGTGTCACACGCCAAACACACAAAATCTGCCATGAAATCTCCTGGGCTCGGCCGTAGATGTGGAAACCAAGTTGACTCTGGCCTGGCTCCGTCGTTCCTCCCCACAATAGCTTCGCTCGCGCCGGGCTAAAATTGCAC